GGCAGTTCTACTCTGTCCTATAGGGTTGCTACGAGTCAGCATCGATTTTAAAAGGGGTCAGGATATCAGGGATGGTGTGCCAGAGAGATGAGAGATTAAGTAAAAGTCCATGTACCAAAAGGATTCCTGAGAAGAAAAACAAGTAATTATCTAGAGAATACTGTAATATAATAATTAAGAGCTTGGACTCTGGAGCCAGACTGCCTGCCTAGATTTGAATCCTGGCTCTGCCACTTATCATGGGTCCTTGGGCAATTTATTTAACTTCTGCCTCAGTGTCCTCACCTAAAAATGGGGTGAAACAGTGTCCCCTCATGGTGTCGCATGGATTAAGAACTAAGTAAACCAAAACCCAAACCAAATCTGTCCTCCACTGAGTTGATTCCGACTCATAGCAACGCTACAAGACAGAGTAAAACTGACTCCTAGGGTTTCCAAGGTTGTAATCTTTAGGTGGTGAGTTGGTTAAGAGCTACGGCTGCTAACCAAAAGGTTGGCAGTTCGAATCACCAGCCACTCCTTGGAAACCCTAAGGGGCAGTTCTACTCTGCCCTATTGGGTCTCTATGAGTCGAAATAAGACTCATTACAAAAGGTTTGTTTTTTTTTTTTTCTTTTTGGTTAATCTTTATGGAAGCAGACTGCCACATTTTTCTTACATGGAGTGGCGGGTGGGTTCAAACCGCCGATCTTTCAGTTAGCAGCAGAGCTCTTAACCACGGAGCCATTATATTAAAGCATTCAGGATGGGAATGGGCATGCAGAAAGGGCTTAATAAATACAAATGGCTGTTGCTGTTACTACTACCACCACCAACAAGGTCAGACCGTGCTGAGAGTCCTCCACATCAGCCGTCTACAAAGAGAAACCTCTTCCATAAGTGAAGCCATGAACTGAATGCAGAAAGAATCATTTCTGATTATTACACGGCCTTAAAAAAGGCCAATATCTCCCTTTCGCTCACTCTAATTGCTTTTTAATAAGGCAGACTTGGTTCAAATCCCAACGTCCCCACTCAGTATTTGTTTGACTTCAGCTAGTCAGAACCTCTCTGAGCCTGTTACTCCGCTTATAAAATGGGAAGACAATATCTTCCTCACAGGGTTGCAGTGAAGAGTACATGAGACAACCTATACAGAGTGTCTAGTACAGCCTCTGGCATGTGGTCAGCCCTCAACAGATGTATTTTTCCACTTCTACTTCCCCCAAATAAAAGCACCAGTACCAACCAGAGTGTGTATGAAAAAGAGTAAAAACAAGCATCAAGCTCTTTGGAAAATATTAAGTGCTAAATGCATAAATATTTAATAAAGGAGAGACAGTAACACTTAAGGGGATGCACTCTCGGTGGTGCCTCTGCCACTCCCTGGGAGCCACGCGCGGCCTCAGGCACCTACTTCACCCCAGAGGACCATGGATATGCACTACTGTCATGTCTTAAGCAGAGGTCTCATAACAGCCTGCCTACAGTGTTTCTCATTACTCTCTCCTGTGCCAACAACTGGTAGTTCCCACTTTACAGTGAAAATACAAACAGAAACAGCTCATCTTAGGCCACATAAGACAGTCCTCACAACTACCACAGCCTCCACCAGACTGAGTTCAGCACAGCTAGATGGTGCTTGGCTACCACCACCGACTGCTCTGACAGGGATCACAACAGAGGGTCCCAGACAGAGCTGGAGAAAAATGCAGAACAAAATTCTAACTCACAAAAAAAAAAAGACCAGACTTACTGGTGTGACAGAGACCAGAGAAACCCTGAGTGTATGGCCCCCAGACACAGACACCCTTTTAACTCCATAGTGAAGTCACTCCTGAGGTTGACCCTTCAGCCAAAGATTAGACAGGCTGATAAAACAACATGAGACTAAATGGGCACACTAGCGCAGAGGCAAGGACGAGAAGGCAGGAGGGGACAGAAAAGCTGGTAATGGGGAACCCAAGGTCGAGGAGGGGAGTGTTGACGTGTCGTGGGGTTGGCAACCAATGTTACAAAACAATATGTGTATTAATTGTTTAATGAGAAACTAATTTACTCTGTGAACCTTCATCTAAAACACAATTAAAAAAAAAAAAAAAAGTCCTCAGAGGAGCAGATCCTCGGTCTCCCAACTCTCCAGTTACTTTTTCTATCCATGAGGCAACAATATGGTATAATGGAAAAAGTGGACGTATGGATGTCAGAGAGACGTGGGCTCCAATCTCAGCTCAAATCTCACTTTTTCCACTTAACTAGCTGGTTTGCCTCAGTCAAGGCTCCTAACCACTTTCAGCCTGGTTTCCTCATTAGCAAAAAAGGGATATGAACTCTACATTATTAGATTATTGCACGAATTCAAAAAGAAATCATAAGTAAACTACAAAGAACAAAGCCTGGCACCCAAGAGGTACTGAATACATTTTGTTCCTTTCCTCTTTAGTTAACACCATAAATTAACCAGAATCCAAATAACGAGAACCTTCAACGAACTAATTTGTTATTCATCCACTAGACTTTCTAGTCTTGGATTCTAAATAGTAACAGAAACAAAGATTAGGGATTTTCTAAAAAAAAGGCAATGTCAGGCAAGGTCTTGGGGTCAGTGTCAGCTCTGCCCTCTACAGCGGCAAGCCCATATGATGGGCACTGCAGTTCAGACAACTGACCTTGTGGGCCAGAGGAGGCAACAAAAAGGTGCAATTATGACCATTATGTTCCACTCAATGAGGCAGGCAAGTGAGTACCTTAGCATTTTTCACAACAAGGGTTCACACAAAATGGGGTCTCTGCTTAACCCTTAATTAACCTGAAAATCCACTTAAGCACAACAAATCTCTTTCCTGAGCATCCTGTCAATCTAGGTTTGGGCTCTAATTGGCCAAGGGAACAGACTCATCATTTATACTTGCAACTCGCCTTTTCCAAACTCTGGTCCAGAACAGGACTTCTGCTGTAGAGCTAGAAGAGGTGATAGATAAACTCACCAATTACCATTATTTAACCCCATATTGCTGAAAACAACATTGCAACCATGTGAGGTGGTCAAGGAGACAAGGCTGGGCACTAACCACGGCTGTTAGTGGGTAGTTAGTGGCAAGGCGGTCAAACCATCTTTGCAAAGTGGGTGGGTCATAGAGTCAGAAAAGAGTCTTTGCAAAGTCCCCTCCCGTCCAACCCTCACCATTCACTTTGTCGTGCCTCCTTTCTACTGTGTGTGGGCCAGGTGCCTGGAGGAAATCAGAAGCCTGCAGCCCAGGCTCTACCCTCTACCAGCTTCCAACCCAGCAGGAGACACAGAAGAAGGCTGTAACAGCAGCATGAACTTAACCGCTCACCTGCGTTAGGGGAAGAGCCTGATGAAGGTGAGTGTTCACAGAAAGCCCCAGTGACTTACGCTCACAAAATTAGTGCATCCTTATCTCCATTTTTGTATTGTATGCTAAATGCATTATCAACTGCTTTGAGAGGGACTTAGCCTCCATAGGAAAAGGAAACTCAAGCTCAGAACACCTGGGCAGGGCCTGGGTCAAGAAAATAGCATTGGAGAAAGCAGGCAAGAGTTATCCCCTTAACTAGCTATGTGACATTGGGCAAGTCACTTAATCTCTCCTAGGGCTATTGTGAAATTCCAATAAAGTAAGCACCTAGTGCAGAGCAGGTGTTTGGTAAGTGCTTATTATGCCTCTCCTCTCCCAGTTTCCCTGTCTGTAAATGAGGAAAAATTTCACAATTGTTCACATAATTGTTCTGAAGATTACAGGAGATGAGGTTAGTAAAGAAAAACCAGCCGGGACACTTTATCAATTCAGTATCTTAACATTAACACACATACATACGCATGCACACACACCATACACATATAGGCTGCCAGACTGCTCTGGACTGAAGAAGTCTCAACTAAATGCAATGTGTAATTCCTGATTAGATCCTAATTTGGAAGAAAAAAAAACCAAAACTATAAAGTACAGTATTTGGGACAATTGGGACAATATAGGTAATTGTACTATTGTGCTGTTGTTGTTAGTTGCCCGCCAGTCAATTCTCACTCATGGCGATCCCATGCGTGCAGAGTAGAACTGCACTCCACAGAGTTTTCAAGGTGGTGACCTTTTGGAAGCAAAACGCCAGGCCTGTCTTCCAAGGTGCCTCTGGGAAGGTTTGAACTGCCAACCTTTTGGCTAGTATCTGAGCACTTAATCATTTGCACCTCCCAGATGCCTCCAATGGTACTATAAAAAACTCATTAACGGTGAGTCAATTTTGACTCATAGCGACCCTACGGGACAGAGAACTGCCCCAAAGGGTTTCCAAGGGGCGGCTGGTGGAGTCAAACTGCAAACCTTTTGGTTAGCAGCCAAGCTCTTAACCACTGCGCTACCAGGGCTACAACAGTACTATAATGATGTTAAATTTCCAAAGCATGATAATAATATTGTGGTTAGATAAGACAACATCCTTGTTTTTAGGAGCTACAGGCTGAAGTGTTTAGGGGGAGGTGTCACTGATGTCAAGGAGCCCTGGTGGTGCACTGATTAAAACGCTTGACTGCTAACTGAGAGGCTGGTGGTGCTTGGCTGCTGAGAGGTTGGTGGTTTGAAACCACGAGTGGCTCCACAGGAGAAAGATGTGGCAGTCTGCTTCTGTAGAGATTTACAGTCTTGGCAACCCTATGGGGTCGCTATGAGCTGGAATTAACTCAATGGCAGTGGGTTTTCGTTTGGGTCATTGATGTCTGAACCTTATTCTCAAAAGGTTCGACAACAACAACAAAAATACACACCAAGGGAGAAAACAAATGTGGAAAGAGGTTAACAATTTGTCATCGAGGAAAGGGAATACAAGGATTCACTGTACAATTAATTCTTGCAATTTCCTATAGACTTGAGAATTCTCAAAATAAAAAGCTACTCCAGAAACTTAACACACGTGTCTTCTTCCCTCCTCATGTTTCATCACCTAGCATAAGCACATGGGCCCACGGATCCCACAGAGCGAGACCCTGAGCCTGCAGCACTCACCTGGCTGCAGCACCCTGATCTCCAGCAGGTTGGAGGTTCTTTCCGCCAGCCGTGTCCAGGTGTTGTCGTAGTTCTTCCGCCACAGTTCTGCCACACACTGGTACTTGCCCGCCTCCGTGTCACTGGCTCGGCTGATGCTCAGGCGCACATTGTTGCTGGATTCAGCTTTCTCGATGGCGGTTCGAGTTCGGAAGCTGGAGGACCTGTCCCCCCACTGGACCCCTCCATCCCGGGTGAAGGTCACCAGGTCATGGAACTCAATGGTGCCCACTGGCTGGAACCTCCACGTCACCGACACAGGGACCCGGGCCGGGTAATGAGGTTTGATGATGCACTGCAAGTCAAATGATTCACTGTAGGTCACCCCAGGCGTACGTGAGATGGCTGTGACCGCAAAGCCAGTTTCTGGAGGGAAAAGAGAGAGGTTCAAACCAGAGGAGACACTTGGCCTTCTCAGGGCAGTGTGACATCAGTGATGGGCTACTGACTAAAGAAGCTGAGCAAGACAAAGGCTGGCAGGTTTCTCTTTCTAGTTTTTATTTCGATACACGGAGTCCCCCACCCAGATGGTGCAAAAGGTTATGTGCTCGACAACTAACTAAAACATCGGCAGTTCAAAATTTGAGGACCATTATTCCTACTCTGACACACATGGGGTCTCCAAGAGTCAGAATCAACTCGACTGACAACTGGTTACCGCCCCCTCACCTGAGGGCACTACTTGCCAAGGATCAGCCCTTCCTGTCTGGGTCCCTCACTGCCTCTCTTCCTCTGCGTTTCCTGAGGAAAGTGGGAAAGGCAGGGTAGGATTGTTCAATAGGCAGGGTAAGCCCAGTGCTTGAACCTGGGAAATTGTTCACTACAGATTAGTAAGTAAGCACAAGTAAGCTCGTGTTTACCTTGCTTACTGAGTCATCTGTTCCTGTCAAAGACTGTAAATTTGAAAAGAGGCTTTGATTCCATAGAAAAGTGCTGTGGGGTTGGGAGAGAGACAGATGCCAGCTATACCTAGAAGCAGACTCTTCGATGTGGTGAAAAAATGTGAAATTGTTCACTACAGATGATCTGGTAAGCAAGGTAAGCACTGTGCTTACCTTGCCTATTGGATAATCCGCCCCTGCTCAAATCCAAGGTTCTGCAGTCTCAGTGGGCTGTGCGTCTCTCAATATTCCTTACTGAACTGGCAGCGTCACTAACCCCTAATACTGACTCCTCCATGTTAGTCTCTTGGAGTTCTTTCAGTATTGAAACACTATTTAAAAATATTAATGCATCGATTATGATCATAAAACAAATAGCAGCCAGTATTTATTGAGCACTATCTATGTGCCTGGCATGGTGCCAAGCGCTTGCTTTCACTACACTTCATTCAATCCTCAAAATGACCTTGTAGACAGGTATGTTTGGTATCTCCCCACCCCCTTTTACTTAACAGATGGAGAAACTGAAGCACAGAGAAGTTAAATAAATTGCCTGATATCAAACTGCTAGTAAATGGCAGAATCAGACTTCAAACCCACGTGTAACTGATTCCAAAGCACACCTTTAACCATGGGCTTTATCAGGTTGCTCTACCCATGAGGAGCATAACATAGTGGTTAAAAGCATAGACTCTGGAACCAGCTGCCTGACTTAAACACTTACTAGTTGTGTGACACTGAGTGAGCTACTTAACTTCTCTATGCCTCAGTTTTCCCATCTGTTCAATGGGTTCTAATGAAGATTAAATGAGTTAATTTGTAAAACAGAATAGTAGCAGGCACACAGTGTATGCTATATTTTGTTAAAGAAAATAGACATAAAAGAAAGTACTTAACTCTGTAGGTAAAAGACTAAGCTTTATATGGGGAGGTATACCAGGAAAGAGTAGGCATGATCTGCTGAAAACTCTGGATCGTCAACTTGGATTTCATAAGCTAACTTTATGTATCTAAAAATAATTTTTTTAAGACACAGAGGCCCATCCTTTACATTAAGTGGTTGTGATGGTCACTTGTGAGTCAAGATGGTTAAAATGGTGCCATGAGTGTGCATCTGGGCGTGGTACATGTTGTCATCAGGGTAGCGTAGCACAGGACCCTGGGGGACAGACCTGCACCTGGCGTTCCTGGTCTCCTCATTGAACAAGGGCCAGAGAACTTCTCAGAGCTCATGACCATGTCCAGGCCTGACACAGGCCCTCGCCAGGATGACAGACCACAGTGTACACAGCAATACAGCTGCCTAACTGAATAAGCACAATGGCCCTTGTATACTGGGAGCACTTTCTCACCTATTGTCTCACTTGTCTCTGCTACCTCCCTGCTAGGGGATCCATACCTAATTGGGCGTGTGGTTGTTTAGAAGGAAAATGCAACCTTCCTCTGGGTTGCCCTCACACTCTGTTCTCCCACCCCCACCAGGCCACCCTGATTTCAGCTTTAGCCAGAAGCATCCCAGGGGTGGAGAACAGGTGGGCAGAGCCAGGCCCCAGGGATCCAGGACAGAGCTCTTCAGGACCCCTAGCTGTGGGAACATCCAGACACATAAAACCAAAACCAAACCCAAACCCACTGCCATCAAGTCGATTCTGATTCATAACAGTCCTACAGGACACAGTAGAACTGCCCCATAGGGTTTCCAAGGAGTGGCTGGTGGATTTAAACTGTCAGCCTTTTGGTTAGCAGCCAAGCTCTTAACCACTGCGCCACCAGGGCTCCTCCAGACACATAGTGAGTATGAAAACAGTCGGGATAACCTGACCCAGGAAAATTCCTTCTCGAGAAATAATCCTGAGTCTAAGGGCTCCTGAGACATTCCTAACCTCACAGGATGGAAAAAAAACTACCACCACCAGACATCCAGAACATTCATCACAAGTTCCGTTTCCACAGGCCCACGCTAGTGGTGAGCATAGTCACAGGGATTGAGCTGATGAGGAAACTTAATTACCAGATGAAGTTTCTAGAGACAGAAACTGGAGTGTATGATTACTGCAGAAAGCAGGTCAATCTTTGAGATGAAGCCTTTAGAAAGTAAATGTAATTCTAATCTCAGAGGGGGAAGAAAACAGAGGACTCTGTCTAGGGCAAAACCACATCAGCCTACCCGTGGAGGAAGGAGGGTTACACAGGCCCAGGAAGCCACAGTTTCCTGATAAACACGAAGACCTAACATGACAAGTTATTTTCCCAGCAAAGTAGCAGACTGGTCTTTTAAAATTTAATATACTGATTATATTAGACAGATAGATGTTGATTGAAGCTTCTTTAACTACCCCTGAGAAGCAAATCTAATGTTCTTTGGTTTTAGCAAATCTCAAGCTATCTTCTAATTTCATACTAATGAGGAAATGACTTTCTCAGGTAGGGGCCCTCTAGAGGAGTAGACAAAAACAGAGGCTTTCACAAAAAAATTCAGACAGACTGCTGGTTTCGGTTGAGATTTTGGGTTTGTCATTTAAAAACTGTAGCCTCAAGCAAATTAGTTAACCTCTCTCAGTTCTAGTTTTATAGTAAAACAGGAGTATCTACCCCTTGGCTAGGTGAGGATTCAATGGGACAATTAAGTTTAAGAGCTTTGACTCAGCCAGAATAAGTGCTATCTGAATGGCATTTGGGATTTTCTGCCCTTCTCTGCCCTGTTCTGAACTGCTTCAGGTGGGCTGGGCTTCTGGGTAGCACTGGCAAAGACCTGGAGGGCAGAGAGAGAGAGAAACTTCAATACCACAGTTTTGGCGGTGACCATGTGCCTCTACCTGGGGCCACAGCTCCTGCTGGGTGGCTTCGCTCCCCTGGCTTCTTTTTTTCTTCCAGTTTCTGTCGAGTGGATCCTGACTCACAGTGGCCCCACATTTGGCAGAGCAGAACTGTGCTCCATAGAGTTTTCAGTGGCTGATTTTTTGGGAGGAGATCGCCAGGCCTTTCTTGTGAGGCACTTCTGGGTAAATGTGAACCTCTAACCTTTTGGTTAGCAGCCACGCATTAACTGTTTGTCCCACCCAGGGATTCCACTTCTCTGGCTACGATTTTTTTAACTCAACCTTCTACCCTGCCCAGGCCTAGGAGTAGTAACAGCTTCCAGTTCTTGCTAGTCCCTGGGGCCCCACCATCCATTGTTGGCTGCCTTAACTCTGCCCACACTTTCATAGAGTCCCTTCTATTAAACCCTTTTGAAGGTACCACCTGTTTCCTACCAGGACTCTGACTAATAGAAGACAGGGTGAAGTTCTTGACATGAAGCAGTCTCCATTATGGTCTCACCAACAGGCTGCCAGACACTTACCGAGAGCTGTGATAGAGACAGGCGTGCTGGCCCGGCGCTCCCCAATGATCTGCCACTCGCCGTCCACTGCCCGCACCCATTCGGTCACGTGACACTCATACTGGCCTTCATCCTCCTTCCTGCTGTTGAAGATACCCAGGTTGAATGAGTTGGGTTGCACCTGCTCCATCTGGATGCCCCCAAAGCTGCTGCGCTCCCAGTAGGACACGCCTGGCTGCACGGTGCCATCCCGGTCTAGCCACATGATATTGCTGCGGCGGTTCTGCCTGTCCACAAGTTGCCAGATGACCGAGAAACGGCCCTGCTGCCTGCCCACCGTGCGGATGCTGCAGGAGAAGTGCAGGTTCTCGCCCTCCAGGATGACGCTGGCATTGCTGGCCACCTCCACGGAGATGCTGCTCTCTGGGAAGAGGGAGAGAGTGACAAGGTGGGAGCTTTATGGTCTCCATGGCACCCTCCTCACAGACATAAAAGGAGGATGGGGCAAATTTAATCTCATTCAGGTACTATAAACCTCAGAGAGTAGAAAGCATTCTGATGCTTGATGTCACAAGCCCTGGTGGTTCTGGGCATCGTTCCTGGGATTTGGATCTGATAATCTAGGAAGCTCTTTGCTGAGTGCAGAGGATTGGGATATGACAAGATTCTAAGACTTGAGGCTGAATCAGAACCAAAGAAACACAATGACATTACATTTAGGATATAAAACAATCTATCAGCTAAACCTATCAGGCTGAAGTTCAGGACTTTTCAACTTCCATTTTTAGTAAGTTGAATAATACCAAAATTCTACTTCACCTGAATCTTCCCACCATTCAAAGCAACAGCAGTCAAATAAAAGCTGTATCCCTAACATGTCTCTTGATTCCTTCAGGGCAATATTAGGAAACAGAAATAAATGACGGGAAGTATTTAGAAGATAAAGTGTGCTTGAGTATGGATAATAATGGAGCCCAGATGGGCAAGCTGCACAGAGTGCACGGGGAGAAAGTTTTTGTACTTTCATTAACAGAGAGGAATAAACCAAGGCCAGTGCCTCGCCATCCCCCATTCGGCTGCCCGTCCACAGTCGGGCCTGGGGCTGGCTCCCTTGTTTTCTACCGGAGATATTCTGCCAATGGAAGGCAGAATAAGATAAGGACTCCATCCACTAACTTTACTGTCTCCATCTAGTCTTTGCCACTCATTAGCTATATGAACTCACTCAATCAAATTATTTAACTCTACATGCCCCATCTTCTTCTTCTATAAGGTGGAGAGAGTGCTGCTTATATTGTGAAGTTTTTAAAAGATTAAAATGTAAGCGACACAATGTACATAGATCACCTAACACATAAATTTTCAAAAACTGGTCACCATTATCTTTAATTAATTTTACTATTCCCAGTAACTCCTTATTTTTATAAAATAGATACTCTGATCTATTTTAATTATGCACATATTACTTTGTACAGTTACCTATATTACGTTCAAAAAGCCCCTAAGTCTTAAAGAACACAAAGAACCGTGACTAATTTGGCTCCAATCTTTAGGGTACTACCCACATGAAACACGTATGATAATTTTAAACCAATCAATTAAATCAAATCACACATGAAGAGGCATACCCAGTTACTGCGGGGAAACACACACATACACATACTGATGCATCTGAATCAATCTTCTCTCCCCTGGATTTCCCCCACAAGCAGAAACAGACAAAGATGGGCACTCAGCCTCAGCATTTAGCTCTTTTTAGAGTGAGTATGCCTGCTACCTGTTCTGGATTTGCTTGTTTCAAGTGAAGAAAAAGTCTGGACAAGGTGGGGAATAGCAATTTGCCCAGGAGGGCAACTTCACCAGGAGTCATACCAAGATGATTTGAAGATGCTGAGGCTCCTGATTAGTCACATGTACAGCAGTAGTTGTTAAATGCAGGGATTTGGAGACAGGCAGACCTGGGTTCTAGGCCTAGGTCTACTACTTTGTAACTCTATAATCTTGAGAGTCTTACATACCCTACCTCTTGGGCAAAATGGAGACAGAAATAACTCCTACGTTGAGAGAACTAGATGAGGTAATTATTTTTCATCATCATCATTAATAATATTCCTCTTTCAGTTACAGACTCATCCCCACTGTTATCAATTCAGAGGATGGGATTAAATGTGGCAGCTTCAGCATCAAGGGAGAAAATCCCTTTGCTTGCCTTAAGCAGAGAATGACTTGTAGGACATCACTCCCACTCCATCTTGTCACCCCCAATGACTCTTACGTAAGCCCTGACTTGTTTATTATAAGGGCTGCTCTTTGGGGCTCTGTTGCTCAAGCAAGCCTGTGAAAACTGGGCAGTTAGAGTACGGACCTCTGAGAAGAAAAGCCATTCTGGCAGTCCAGGCAAAGGCAAACACAGACCTGCTACAGTCTTGCCCATTGAAACTATTTGTAAGGGCTCCCACACCTAAGAAAAGGCAGCTGACAATTTAAAACTGTCTAGATTAAGTGAAAACTAGGACAGAACTAATGAGAATCTGAGTGCACGCTCACAAACGAAATTTCAAATCAGGAGGCTGACGGCGTAGCATAGGCTAAGCGCAGAGCAGTGGGTTTGTAGTTAGAAGCAAACGTTGCTAATGCAATGCAACCTCAACCACTAACTCGACAACTGGCTCAGTCACTTCCCTGTACAGTGCTCTGGCTTCGTCATTCATAGAATGGATATAACATTGGCTTTACGGGAATATGAGGGGTGAGAGAGGAGAAGGAGAAGATGTACGCAAAAGCACTTTGGGCTCTTTGGAGGAAAAGCACCATTAAAATTCAAGGTATAATCACCATTACCGATGTGATCATTGTTGTTCTTTGGTAGACTTACCCAAGTGGCCTTGGGGCAGGATCTGGTGGTGCTGGGGGACTTTAACTACCCAGTTATCTGCTGGAAAAGCAATATAGCAGGCCACAGATCATCAAACAAGTTCTTGGAAGGGGTTGGGGGAAATCTCTTAATACAAAAGGTATAAGAAGTAAATAGAGTGGCTGCCCTTCACTGTTCCTTACAAAACAATGAGGAATTAGTTGCAGATTTAAAAGTAGAGAGGTCGTGGTTAAGGCAAGCAGGGATTGACAGGAAAGTAGTCAGGAGAGTGGGCATTCAACTCAACAATTTCAATTCTACAAATATTCAGCAAGCACCTACTTTATGCAAAGCACCATGCTAGGCAATGCAGGGAAAGAGTCTAAGAAACAAAAAGATTACAAGATAATTAGGGGTCTTTTTTTTTTTTAACCATGAAAGAAAATAATCTTGTTCATGAGAAAAGAAGAAAGAGTGGCAAGGCCCCTATGTCTATTTTTTTCTTCACGCTTGAGAAATATTTTTTAAATGTAAAAGTGTAAATAAAAATGTAAAGGAAATCATTACAAGGCTTAGAGAAAGAGCAGTTCGAGTCGAGAAAAAGTTAAAGGTTAGTTAGTTCATCATCTTGTTTAAAGTAAGGGCAATGTAAATTTTTTTTTCCCTCTACTAAAAACAGAACTATGAGGTAAATGAGATATTACAAGAACATCCTGATATTAGGGATGATTAAACACAACATGAGCAAACACAGGTACTCTCTGGAGTCCCTGGCAATGGCAGTTACCCACCCAGACAGGCCAGCTTACATGGAGGCAGGGGGCCCCCTACGCAGCTCTGGAAATCAGCTAAGCTTCAAGTCTATGCTCCAAGAAGACTTGCAAGATCCTATTCACTGATGTTTAAAAACATATTTCAACAGGGAAGAGACAATTAGGGAAATGTCAACCTTTACACTCCAAAACACCAGACAGCAAATCCTTCTGAATAATGCACTTTATGATTTAAAATCCTCCCATAAAAGGCCAACTCTCCTTAAGTGAGATGTCTAGATAGGTATCTACCCACTTCTTCTGGGACTGAATTCCCACCCAGGAGCAAACAGCTTTCCTGGATTCCTGGTTTTCCTCCAAGCTGAGCTAGAGCAGGGAATTGCTGAGGCCCAACTCCAGCCTGCAAACATACCCCTGAAGCTCTGCTTAATTGGGGGATGGGGATAGTTGCTAAGTTGATTTAACCTTTGAGTTCCACCTGCACCCGACCCTCAACACCAGAGTTACTCTTCTCTATCCCCTACTGCCCTCATATGAAGCTAGCTGTTGAACCAGGAAGCAGTAAGAGGAGCAGAAGAAAGCAGCTCATCTCTCTACTTACTGAGAGGGAGGACTATGATAGGGGTGTTCTTAGGACGCTTGCTCTCCTTGTCAATGAACTCCCCAGTGACCGTTTTCTCCCGCTCTGTCACGCGGCAGTTGTATTTCCCACTATCTTCCTGGCGGAGGTGGTAGATCTTCAGCACAAAGACACTGTCGCTCTCTTTGGCCACTTTAAGCTGTCCCCTGGCTTCCCGGTGGGCAAATTCACTGTTGAGGACCGGCACAGCGTTGGGCCCCATATTGGCAATGAGCGAGCTGTTGAAGGCCCAGGAAACGGCAAAGTAACGGTCAGGAATGCTCTGAGCCTCCAGGATGCACCTGAACTCCACTGTCTCCCCCACCGTGTACAGGCGCTTCTCCGTTTCCAGCCTCACGGCAAACTCTTTGTCTGAGAACACATGTAACAAAACAGATGCATTCTGGGTGAATCATACTGTATCAGTAAATCCCCACAACCCATACCCTTCTTCACAAAGCTACCTACAGGCATCACAGCACTTGTCTCAGATGGAAAAATCCAACTCAGACCCAGTTATCTGAGGTCCAGAGAAACCCGTGAATATCTCAGAGAGAATTCAAGGGTTTACTCAGGTAGCTAGATCCAGACAGTCTAGGGAGTTTGTTACCCCTACCACAGCCAATAGGGCTCTGTTTTAAACTTTTAAGGCCCTAGACAGTTCTACTCTCACACACATGGGTTGCCATGAGTCAGAATCGACTTGATGACAACTAGTTTGAACTGGATGAACAAACCCACCTGGGACTGTGCATATTACCTGGTGGATATTGGCTCTCTGGTCAACCAAATTACAGTAATTTATAATCTAACATCAGTAATGGAAAAGTACCTCTTCCATGTAAATTTTTGCTGAAGACATGCAAGAGGTGCCCTAGACCTCAAACCTTCCCACTTCCTCAGAGTTGGGCAGGCTGTGGCTTTCTTCTCATGGCAGCCAAAGACTCTTATTTCATGGGAATTCCTACCCACCCTCCCAACTTGGTGAAGCTTTCATGTTTCCAGGCTGAAGATGAAAGAATTACAATGTACCGCCTCCTTTTCTACATAGCAACTGCTTCTTGGTTACGCCCAGTCAGTTAAATCTCTATAAATTGATTTATGCTTTATCCAATACCACCTCACTCCTCAGCTCACTGAAATCTGGCTTCTGGCCCTTCTCCTGCACTTCACTGAACTAGCAAATGTCACCAGCGATCCTTCCCTGCCCCACATCCCCCCACTATCACAACCATAGGCTTTTCTCAAGCCCTGCCCTATGGGTCTCACCCTTTGGCCCCACTCTTTTCCTTGGGTTCCACGACACCCTCCCTCATGCTTCTCCTCCTGCTTTCCTGACCACTGTGTTTCTCTTTCTGGGAGAACCTGCTCCTCCATCCACCTCATACTGTTCCTGTTCTCTTGGGCTCTTCTCTGTTTTGACCCTGCCGGTTTTTCCTGGGCCATTCATCTCTCCCCACTTCAGCCCCTAACTGAGCTCCAGAGCCCTCTGTCCCATTTCCATGACACTATGGGTGTTTCACACACTGAGACTCTCTAGAAAAGTTTGCTTGAAGGATGAACTACCTGACGAAAAATTTAAAATATAAAAGACAACCAATGCTGCCACTACCGGGGAGGCAGAGGCTTTCAAGTAGGGCTTTGCACTTCCTCATTCACCTTTCTACATCCCCCCACCCAGTTCAAGGAGCCACTCAGGAGCCCCATCTCGGGGCTCAGGGCCAGAGGTACTCCTCCTCCCACATGCTCTGCATCTTCCGCTTCTAGCAGTCATCACCTTCGTTCAAGACTATTGCCACTGACCTAGTCCTGGCCTTGTTGGTTCTTTCCTGGACTACAATGTCCTAGGAGCCCTGGTGGTGCAACGTTTAAGCGCTCTGCTGCTATGTAAAGGTAGGTGGTTTGAACCCACCCAGAAGCTCCGTGGGAGAAAGACCTGGTGATCTGCTTCTGTAAAGATTACAGCCTAGAAAACCCTATGGGGCAATTCTACTCTGTCACACAGGGTCAGTATGAGTCAGAAGGGACTCGACAGAACCTAACAACAGCATAATGTCCTACTTTGTGTCTACTTCAGACGTGGCCTGTTGAACCAGCCTCCAGGTTAACTTCCATGTTTTTTTTTTTATCCTTTTTCATCCTCTGCTTAAAAAATCTCTACACTCTAACCTAACTGTCTGCAGCAGTGGTTTTCAAACTTTTTTTTTTAATTCAGATAAAATTTTTTGATGCCCGATATATAAAACATTTGGTTGAAGCAAGGGTGAAACACTCAAGGTCCTCATACACCTTCCCTACCACTTTATGGGGTACAAACACACCCCACATGCAGCTTCCCATGCACCTCTAAGGGGCTCCTAAGGTTCCATGAAGAACAGTTTGAAAACTTTTGGTTCAAAGAGTCAGATGCAAGCTCCATGTTACAGCATTTGGGGCTTCAGGCCACCTTCCTTTTTCTCCTCCCATCACGCATGCCCAGAACTCAACAACTAGCCACAAATGACTTCTCCGTGCTGGCCAAACAACTGTATCCTTTCATTCTTTTCCTCCTGATGTCTCACCAAGCTTCAAGACTTAGCTCAAGCCACCAGACTTGGTTGTTTTTCCTGGACTTGCCTTAACAACTATCCCATCCAGGGAAAACTTACTGTTGCCAGAGCACTCCAAATCTACTGTTTTCAGAGTACTTCACACACAATGCTATCACAGCACTTAGCATACTCTGCTTAGCCACTGGCTTTCGCATCTGCAAATTTCCCGAGTGTAGGGACCAAATGTTTGAATCCCCCAATGCCTGTCACCATGCCTGCCATGCTGTAGAGACTCACTACGTGTTTACCAAAATGAACTAAGAGAAGGGAGATATCTGGGATGCAAACACTGAACCTGAAAAGCACACGGACACAGAGTAAAGTCATCAACTTTTTTTTTTTTTCCTTTTAGTTTTAGCAGAACCGTTGCTGGCTTACTTTGGATACATTTGCATGAAAAACGTAAAAAGTCCTAATTTCAAATTATTAAGATTATAATAAAGAAGATTAACTGATGCAACCTAATTCAAAAGCATTAAGACTCAATATTTGGACTTGAGATTTAAAGCTGATCTTAAAACGATCCAGAAAGGGGAAAACTAAATATGAAATTAAGTCCCTTCCAAAGAGTTCCTAGTATTGGAAGATCCAGAAGTTTCTAAATGCTCTGGGCCCTGCAGGACAGATAAAGTACCCATTCAGGAGCCCAATCCTTCTTGTAAAAGCCGTTAGATGGCTACAGAATCATATCTGCCTTATTCCCTCTAGGGCTCTGCTTGAGAAAATACAACGGCATAAGAATCACCTGGGAAGCATACTGGAAATTCAGCTTCCCAGGTCCCACCCCAGGAACTGCTGATTCAGGACTTCTGGGATGAGGCCCAGGAATCCGTACTGTTGGTGAGTCTGAAGCACTAGAATGAATGACAGACCTACAAGAGGCAGAAGAACTATACAAAGACCAAGACAACTGACTGTAGCAAGTGGGATAGAGGGTGCCTGGGTCAAGAAAGAGGTCCTGAAGAAGAGAGCCCACCTGTACCTCAGAATTCCCCAGCTCATCTCCCACAAACCACAACTCCACTCTCCTGGCCAACTGCAGTGCCTCACCGGAGATGAGTCTCAACACAAGCAAAGGCTCTCAGGCCACTTACTCACCTTGATGACGGCACCAACAACCACCCTCCAATCGAACAAGAGGACCAAGGCCCATGCGAGAAACCTGTTCCCCAGCCCGGATGAGGCAGCTGTTGTTAGCACCAATGTGGAGCCTGGCTGGACTCGGGAGTCTGGAGGGTGGACTCTGAGATTTCGGGAGAATAGTACAAGAAGTCAGGGAGGATTCGGTGCTGCTAATACTTTTCTCCAGCTCTAAACAAGTCACTCAGCCTCCTCAGGGAACTCCCTTTCCAGGTCTTTCACTTCAGAAAACATTACATTGGAACCTGGTACTCTCTAGTCTGGCCTCATCAACATGCCCTGTGACTCTTGCTGAGGCCACACCTACAGCAATCTGAATTCAGCATCCTCACCTGTAAAATGAGAATGCTGCCACCTACTTACCTCACAGAACTTCTGAACGGATTGGTGAAGTAATACGTGACAAAGCAATTTGGAAATGATACTGTTAGGTGCTGTGAGTCAATTCCAACTCGTAATGACCCTATATGACAGAGTAGAACTGCCCCATAGGGTTTCCTAGGCTTTTGTAATCTTTACGGGAGCAGATCTCCAGGTATTTCTCCCGCGGAGCTGGGTGGGTTTGAACCGCCAACCTTTTGGTTAACAGCCAAACGCTTAACTGTTGCACCACCAGGGTTCCTTTTGAAACTATAAAGCACCACAAAAAAATTATTATTAATAGAAATAATATTAATTTAACTCAAAGTTTGTCTACTTCATAATTTTATATCTATGAGGGAGGGCTCATAATTCCAAGTGTCTTGTACAAATGGAGCAGGATTGGTACCTGAAGAATGCAAACTCCATCAAAGGGGGAGCCACTGTGCTAAGTGGGAATGGGAAGCCAGAGTCATGGATACAGATGGCTTTATGTAAAATCTCCGATTTTTTTTAAAGATGGTTAACTAATTCAAAAAAACATAAAACACCATGCAGGTCAAAGAAAACATGTCTGTAGGCAGGATTCAGTCTGTGTGGCACCTCTCTGTGACTCACTAGATGGCTAGGTCTTAGGATACCTACGCCCTCTAAGTCCCGTAATTTCCTCTGGCCCTTGGGCAGGACCATCTTTAACTTCACATGAAAACCTGTTGCATTTTTAGACATCACCAAGGAAGGAGCCCCTCACCCTCCCAGTGTCTGACCACCCTCACCACTGAGTACATAGGGAAAGAGGCTCAGAGAGACTGACCAGTGGGCTGGACGTTGACCACGGTTCCCTCGGAACGCTTTCGGGTCATGGCATACCACGACCCATCCGGATCCTGGATCCACTCAGTAGCCTCACAGTAGAACTCGCCCTGGTCAGAGGGCTGCAGGTGGAAGACGGTGAGGCGGAACATGGTCCTCCCCAGCTTGTCCAGCCGCACCTCCCCGAGGCTTTGCCTCTGGGCATATTCACTGCTGGACTGCAGCACAAAGTCTCGGCTCAGGGAAATGACCTCCACGGGCTTCTCGCTGCCTCTCTGCCGGAGCCAGGCCACAGACAGGTGGCTGTGCTGGAGCGTCTCGGTGGCCACCTCACAACTCAGCTCCAGAGGGTCCCGCTCCACTTTGTGCAAAGTCTGAGGTATGGCGGTGGTCTGCAGAGTGTCGGGAATCACTGCAACAGCAACACAGAAATGTTCCAGGAACACACTGTCACAAAGCCACAGAATCTTAGACTTACAGGGGACAGAGCGCCCACTCCATGCAGATTCACGGGTTCCATGGCCTTAACAGGGTCAGCCTTTAACAATCAATGCAAGGCCACAGACAACCCCACAGGGTACGTACACCGAAAGAACTTTGTTTGATTTCAGAATACATTTTTGGTACTTACCTGTTTGGTATTTTAATAACAATTGTGGGTTGTATTTCATTTCACATAATAAACAAATTTCCTGAAAACACTATACAAGAAGAATTTTCTTTTAGGTCAAATAAGATTTCGTTGTTGATTTTGGTATAGCTTTAAAATATTTTAATTTCACTCCTGTTATGGACTGAATTGTGTCCCCCCAAAACATGTGTTGGAATAGTAACCCCTACAGAGAATGTGATCCTGTTGGAGAACAGGGTTTTCTTTGTTATGTTAATGGAGCCCTATCAGTGTAGGGTGTGTCCTAAACCTAATCGCTTCTGAGTTTTAAAAAGAGCAGATTAGACACAGAAGGAAGCACAAACCGGGAAGAAGATTCCATGTGAAGGTCACCAAGGAACCAAGGAATGCAGGGGCTACAGAAGTTGAAAGAGACAAAAATCTTCCCCCAGAGTCAACAGAAAGAGAGTCTTCCCTTACAGCCAGCGCCCTGACTTTGGACTAAAAACCTTCAGAATTGTGAGAAAATAAATTTCGCTAAAGCCACCCACTTGTGGTACTTCTATTATAGCAGCACTAGGAAACTAAGACAACTTCTGATTGATATTCAAATGGAAATGGCTCCTGGAACTTTTAGCTTTATGTTTCGACAACTTCATCTCCTCCCTTTTCTTCCCCATCCCCCAACTTACTTCCGCAATGCAATGCTCTTGTAAAGTTTTTTTTTTTTTTAAAATGCATGGTAGAGAGACGAACCATCATCCCCTATTTGTAAGTAAGTTTGATTTTCATACAATTCATCTGGCAAAGTGGTCCACACTGGAAGGAAGCTGCAGTATGGAGATTTGACAAGGTAAGAGAAAGAGATTTCCCCTGTGTTCTCCTGGTCAGAATTTTACTCTGATCCTTACATCTTTCTGGACATAAAACAGCAACACCTCTCTGACTGATGAGGGCAACTCAATTACGATTAGTGTGCGCTTTCTCACTGGATTCATATCAGAATTGGGTGAAATAACGAATTGTTTGCGCCTTAAAGGCCTCCTGTTGGGATGATCTTAAAAGCTTCCTGTTGAGATGTCAACTTGTCAGGGAAAGAAAATTAAACAAAGGACAGTGCTTGTGCTAATAAAGGAACTGTTAATACCCTCATCCCCACCCCAAGTTAATTTTGACAATAAAAACTTGAAATTAAGACTTGGGCAGAAAAATGAAACAGCTTTGATATTTTTAACACTTTCGCCTTGGCAAGCACCGCGGCAAAGCTCCCCACTGCCTCTTCCTCACACTCCCTCCATCCTTAGGGGAACACCAAGGCCAAGGGAGATAGCTAGCTGACAATTCCTTACTCATGGAGCCAAAGTACCTACTAATGCAGTCAAGGTCTGGCAGTCAAGGTCTGGCCAAGGACCTGCAACCACATTCGTGCCCCAGCCATGTCAAAGCCTGTTCCAAGGCTGTCATCTCTCTTCCAGGTAACGTCATACCCTTCATCTCTCTTGTCATTTCTTCAGCTCGTCTACCACAAATGCCCTTGCCTTATACTTTCATACCCCCTTTCACCAGCCAGGAAACCCTGGTGGCATAGTAGTTAAAAGCTACGGCTGCTAACCAAAAGGCTGGCAGTTTGAATCCACCAGGCGCACCTTGGAAACCCTATGGAGCAGTTCTACTCAGTCCTATAGGGTCGCTATGAGTCGGAATCGACTCAACGGCAGAAGGTCAGTTTTTTCACCAGCTAGAGAGATAGCCTTCTCTGAAATTCTTAACATCTGCAGTGGTCCTTTTTAAGTTTCAACCTCACTCTTCTATTATTTACAAGTTAACACATAAATGTTGTCCACTTTATGCTGCATTGTTGACCTCTAAAATATCTGGGAAGTTTTTGTGTTTTTTTAAGTCACGCACATGGTACAGAACAAAGTGACACAGGTAGGGCCCTGGTCATGTGAGAACAGTGTCTCCTTACCCACTAGGTTCATCTTGGCACTGTAACTCCCAAAGTATCGCTCATCCGTGTTGGGCGTGTGGCATTCATACTCTCCAACATCCCGGGCCTGGAGATCTGTGATGTGCAGTAAGGCTGAGCCTTCCTGGACTCTCTCCACGTAGATCTTTCCACTGCGGACACGCTGGGTGTAGATGGCATATGGGAACGAAGAGTCCATGGTGCTGATGATCTGTACCTCACGCTCCGGGGCAGAGGGCAGGTAAATGCACCACTGAAAATTCTGCTCGGAAGGTCCCTGGTAGCCACTCACGTTGCACCAGATGGTGATGTGGGAGCCCTCCGTGCGGTACAAGGGTCCTTCCTGGACGGTAACCTGCCGTTGTGCTGATACTACACCTGTGGGAGAGAGACACACACAACACACTCGATTACTTCTCAGACCAAGATGCAAAATAGGCAGCAACCTTCAAGGGGTTTTTTAATAGTGTGACATGATAATAATACAAATAGCTTACTGGCCCTTTCAGAGGCGCTCTGTGATTTATAAATATTAGTTAAAACACTCGGTTGTAAAGCATCGTCCCTAATTTACATATATGGGAATTTGATAGTACGAGGATGTGTTTTCCTTACTTATTCAATGGCTGACCCTTGGGAAAATCATTTAGTCCCTCTGTTTGTCATTTATGTGGCAGTTTTATATCAATTAATGTTGTTTATACAGTTTTTAACAAAATTAACAAGAAAAGCTGAATCCTTGGCACAATTTCACAGGAAAACAAATAAAAGCAACTGTCTTCCAGTCTGGCTGAAATGAACCGTTCCTTCCTGGAGCAGAGGGCTGATGGAGCCTGGGGTCCTGTTTCTGGTACTGCACCCTCCATTTTCACGTGTGGCTCCCTGCCACCCCACAGCATCCCAAGGACATTCCTGGGATCCTCTTCCCCATAAGCAGAGGCAGAGCTGAGCTCCTGCAGGTTGAGCACACACCACCTGACTGTGGGAACTGAAGCAGATCCCTGGTACTGGATCCCCACACTCTGACAACGGGCAAACCCGCCACAAGGACAGTCCACCTGCCCTTGAGCTCACAGCCCTGATTCACCCACTGGCCCCCCTGCCTTCTGACTGGGACGTGGTTCTCCAGTGGTCGCTCTGCCTGCCTTCTCCATGTCCTTCCTAACATGGTATCTATCTCCTTGCAGACCAAGGAGGGGGGACTAAAATATGGTGGATTTTATTTCTTGTTCCAGGCCAGCACAACACGGATCGTGCCTGACCCACTCAAAAGGTGGTAGGGGACACGCTCTTTTGTCTTCCTCCTGGGTGGCAGCTGAGCACGGCAGAGGGAAGAACCACCCGACAGAAAGAGCAGGTGAACTCTAGTTGCAGCTCTGCCATGAGTTAGAACTGGCAGTGTCCTCTTGGGCAAATTGCTTTTCCTCTCTGGACCTTGATCTCCTCACCCATAAAATGATTTAGAAAAAAGCTTTAATTCGTGGGTAGTGCAAATGGTTAAGCTCTCAGCTACTCACTGAAAGGTTGGTGGTTCAAGTCTACTCAAAGGCACTTCAGAAGAAAGGCCTGGCAATCTACTTCTGAAAGACCACAGCCATTGAGAACCCTATGGAGCACAGTTCTACTCTGACACACGAGGTCACCATGAATCCAAATCCACTGAATGACAACTGGTTGTTTCAAGAAGGCTTTGGAGTGGGTTGGTACGTGTTCCAGTGCTGCCTTTGTCACTTACTAGCTGTGCCTTTGCAAAACTTACCTAACCTCTCTGAGCCTCAGCTGCCTTATCTGTAAGATGGGAATAATAATGTGTGCCTCATAGAGTTATTATAAACATTGAATAATGTCTCTAAAGCCCCTAATGCAGGGCTCAGCCCACAAGTAGTCCCAGTAAAGAGCGGTGCTAGCTAAGACCCCTCCTGGCTGGAACATTCTATAACTCTGGGTCCAGACAGGACAGGACTTGACCCGTGATCACTCAAGGACACTTCAATGGCCTCTTGATAATGACACCATCTCTTAGCTCACAGCTGCAGCCCACCTCCCTGGAAGCTCCCTATTGCCCCTAAAAAGGAGAATCACAGCTGCTCCAGTACAAACCTATTCGAAGTGGATCCAGGTGGTGAACAGCTGGGACACTCAAACACTAGTGGCACACAGCTCTAAGCTCAGCCTGGGTGGTGGTTGTGCCTCAAAGCCAGCTTATCTAATCTGCAAAATGAGGGACCTCAAAGAAGGCTGAAGGGAAAACAGTGGAGCCAGGGTCTTCCTTTGAGGCACTACCGCTCACCCTTGGATGAACACTGGAACCACCTGGGGAACTTCACAAGCTCACAGTGCCGGGGTCCCACCCCAGTGTAATTGGTCAGGGGTGCAGCCTGCGCATTACCAGTTACTTCTGAGTGCCAAGTCAATTCTGACTCATGGCAACCCCATCTGTTGCACAGTAAAACAGCATTCCATAGGGTTTTCAAGCCTGGACATAACGTTTTTCAAAAACTCCCTATATGATTCTAATGTAGGTGTCTCTACCCACAGTGCCAGTCAGATGCCCAAATAAAAGAACATATGGCCCAATGGTTAAGTGCTTGACTGCTAACTGAAAGGTTGGCAGTTTGAACCCACCCAGTGGCTCCAGGGGAGAAACACCTGGCGATCTGCTTCCATAAAGATTACAGCCAAGAAAACCCCATGGACCAGTCTTACTCTGTCACATGGGGTCACTGTGAGCTGAAATAGACTCCATGACACCTAATGACAACAACATCATCCTAACTTCAGCTTTCAGCTCCTCAATAGCTGAAGCCTCTCCCTTCTTCGAAGACTACATTGATTAGGTTCAAGAAAGTTTCATTCTCCTCTAGTCTTCTGATGGGCAGACGACAGCAGCAGAGATCTAGCAGATACTGGCTGTTGTGATGCAATAATGAGCTTAACAAGAGAGCCTTCTATTTACAGACTGTACAAAAGCACTTGATCAGTGGATAACACACATTACCGCTCTGAAAGGTAAACAGTGTGTCAAGTAGCTTGAATGAGCCAGAGGCTGAACCAAAGCAAACCTGTTGCCATCGAGTCAATTCTGACTCATATTACCCTATAGGACAGGGTAGAGCTGCCCCACAGGGTTTCCAAGGTTGTAAATCCTTACGGAAGCAGACTGCCACATCTTTCTCCTGAGGAGCGGCCGGTCGGTTCAAACCACTGACCTTTCGGTTAGCAGCCGAGCTCTTAACCAGTACACCACCAGGACTCCTTTGAGCCAGGGCACCCCAGGGTCAAAAAAAACTTGCCCAAGCCTTAAGACAGTTATAAACAGTCCTGACAAATAAATACCAGTTTCCCCTGCTATCCAAAAGTGGAGCGTTCCTATGAAAACTTTCATAAGCTGAAATGGCATAAAGCAAAGAAGCAATTACCATTAAAAATTTATATGGGAAAATTTTTTTAGCGTTCCCAGACCCAAAAAATAACCTACCAAATAACACAGTAAAACCTAAAATAACACTAACATACAGTAAAAGTAGGAATAGGATGAACAGCCTATATAGAACAGAAATAATGTAGGTACAGTGTAGTTTCACTCTCGCTGCTCGAGGTGTGCGCTGCAAAACAAACGCTAACCGCTATTTCTGCTTTCCGTCTTTTTACATAAAAGCAAAAATCCTCTTCAGATTTCTTTCGGTTAGCGAAAACAGGTACTAATGCAGGTCTTTCATAAAAGTGAGGTGGCGTAAAGTGAACTTTCAAAAAGCGAGGGATGCCTGTACTTTTTGGTCTTTAACCATGCACATTCACACATTCCACCGCACCTGTTTATTGAATATTGCCGTAATTTCCTACCCTCCCCTAAAGGGCCCTTGACCACTGAAAATAATAGGAAGTGGACCTGACCTTAGAAATAAAAGTTAACTTTTTTTTTTCGTTTAACTCCCCCGGCCACACCCCCACCCTCCTCATTTCGTTCTGAGTCACTGCTACATTCCCACAGGTCTTCCAACTCTGAGGAATCTGTTCCATGGCCCCTTCCACCTTCCTTCACAGCCTAGAACAGAAGGCTCCTCCCAGGCAGGGATAAAGTTTTTGTAAATATATATTTTTTTTTACTTTAGACATTCCTGTACTCTTTGAATTACTTCTCAGTAAGTATCACTTCAGTAATTAAAGAAGAAAATATTTAAAGTGTATATAATGTAATGTTCCCTGGGTGGTACAAATGGTTACTACGCTCAGCTGCTAATAGAAAGGTTGGAGGTTCGAGTCCACCCAGAGGTGCCATGGAAGAAAGGCGTGGAGACCTCCTTCTGAAAAATCAGCCACAGAGCTATGGAGTACAGTTCTACTCTGACACACATGGGGGCGCCATGAGTCAGAATCATTTGGACAGGGACTGGTTACCAGTATATATAGCTCTGAAACAGGACTAGAGAGAAGTACTGGGTTACAGGATTACAAGTGATTCTTATTTTCTCCTTTATATTTTACTCTACCCCTTACCCCTCAGTCCTCTGCAATCAGTATGTACTAGTTTTAGAAAAAACTTAACCCAAATAAAAACAATACGTCTGCTTTTTATAAAATTTAAAGACTACAGAAAGGCAAAGCAAAGGAAATAGATACCAGCTACAATCTCAACACCCAATGATAACTGTTAATATTTTGGTATCTACATGATCTTTTTTTTCTAGGCACATACATCTTTTTAGTCTAATTTGTAGAAACAGGATTATACTATAGACACTGTTTCATAACTTGATTTTTCTCACTTCACATATTTTTAATATTATTTCATGTAATCAGGTATTCTCCTACAAAATCTTTTAATATATAGCAGGGCTTGGTAAACTTTTTTCTGTAAAAGATTATATAGTAAATATTTTAGGCTTTGCAGGCCATGCAATCTCTGATGAAACCACTCACCTCTGTCACTGCAGTGCAAAGGGAACCATGGACAATACATAAATGAGAAGCATGGCTGTGTTCCAATAAAACATTACTAACAAACTTTAATGTTTGAATTTCATATAATTTTCACATCATAAAACATTATCCTTCTTTCAATTTTTTCCAACCATTTGAAAATGTGAAAACCATGCTTTGCTCTTGCTGGCCATGCAAGAATAAAAGGCTGATCAAATCTGGTCTATGCCATGCAGTCCCAAAATCTGTGTAACCAGTTTCCCTAATTGGTCCTCTCTCTGTCTCTCTTTCTCTGTCTCTCATTCACTCACTCTTTTGCTATTGTAAACAACAATGCAAAGAATATCCTTGAAGCCAGAACTTTGTATGTTTCAATAACATTTGCTTAGTGGCATTCCTAGCATTCTTCCAGTCACATTTCCACAATGTGGCTCAGTGCCAGCCCTACCTCTCCTCCT